AGGCAATAATTCGAGGCTGGTCCTGTGGGTCTTGTTGGACCAGGACTGCTCCTAGGCAGGAAGCCAACGCGTCGCAATGCTCCTCCAGTGGTAAGTTGGGATCAACCCTTTCCAGTTTTGTGACATCTGCTAACTTGTTTTTGATGAATTGGAAAGCCTGGTCAGCTGTTGAGTTCCACTGGAGTCGGATAGCAGGTTTTTTGGGAATAATAGATCAAAGTATGCGTTCCTGCTCGGCAAAGTTCATGGGCAGGTGTGCCCGTAAATATGTTGCCATGCCAATGAACCTCTGCATTTGACACGTTGTTTCCGGGCGGGGGTAATTCCATACGGCTTTGACATTCTTTTCTGCTGGGCGCATACCGGTTTGGTTGATCTTGTGGCCAAGGAACAGTATTCTTTGCGCCAGGAATTTCGATTTCAGGACGTCAATTGATGCACCAGCCCTGGATAGGGTTTTGAGCACTGCTTTCAGATTTGTGCAGAGCAAATTGAATGACTCTCCAGAGACAATCACTTCATCTGAGTAGGCAAGGCACCTGAGGAAAAGATGCTGCCGCAAAATGGTATCTATTGCTCTTTGAAAGAATGCAGGCCCCGTTTTGAGGCCGAAAGGTAGTACTTTGTACTGCATTTGCCCTTGCAGCATATGGAAAGCAGTCTTTGGATGATCTGCATGTGCAATAGGCAGATGATGAAATGCCGAATGCAGGTCCAAAGTGAAAAAATATGCATTATTGCGCCCAAGCGGGTCAAGCAATTCCTGTACTGCCAGGGTCGGGTAATTGTCAGGCACAATAAGTTTATTCAGTTTGCGATAATCCTTGACAATATGCCATCTCTTATCAAGAGGGTAGTCTGGTTTGGAACCTGGTTTGGGAATCACGAACGCCAAGGAATTGTACGGGGACAGGGCCGGTTCCAGGATCCCGTCCTGGAGATAGCAATCAATAATCTGCGTAAAGGGTGCGTTCTGTTCTGCGGATTGTTGGAATGGTTGTACAGCGGGGGGATTTGAGTTGCTTGTGGGAATATGTACAACATACTCCGTTTGAAGACCCCGCTTCCCTGACCACTGGAATACCACAGATGGAAACTTGCAGAGGATATTGCGTATGACAGACTGTTTGTCCTTTGACCTGTCCACAAAAGAAATGCCCTGGCTGACCTCAAGATTGGGTTTTCCCTGAGGTCAAATCATGGTCTGAAATCCGGTAGAAACGCGCTTGCCATCCACTGTGACGGTAACCGGTAAAAGTGACAAAAGAGTACAGCCGAGAACAATAGGTGGTTCAAAATGCTTGTTCAGGACAAGAAAAAAACCCTTGTGCATGACGCCGCGATAGTGAAAAGGTGTCAAAACCGTGCTTGCCACATTCATTGCCTTTGAGGAAAGAACAGTGGTAACGGAAGTAGGAAAAGGGTGGGTTGGGAGTTGGAGGGATTTGACTAACCTGGGCAAGATGCACGCATGGGATGCTCCTGTGTTGACGAGAGCCCAGCACAAAGCAGATCCAATGGAGATGTCCAGGAGGATAGGGAGCAGCGCTGGAGGAAGCGTGGGGGAAGCACAGTGGGCCACATTCACTATGCCTGTTTCGTGTTTCCCTGATTTTTGGGACAATTGCAAGCCATGTGCCCCTTCTGATTGCAATGAAAACAAGGATATTTAGGTCCTTCAGAAAAATTAGATTTTTTAGACTGCGTTGATACAGGCGCAGCCTTGTCAGAACTTTCTCCTTGAGCGGCAATGCGGGCATGACATTCCTTGGTGCTGTGCCGCATCATGCGTCCATGCCACTTACATTTCTGCTTTGGTGGGAGGCTTTTCCCGTCCTTTTTTGTTTTGGGGGCAGTGTGGGTTACCTTCTCTTCCTTTCAGTGTTAGATGCGGTACTGCTCTGCCTGGGAGACAAACTTGGACCAGGGGATGTCACGGTTCTTGAGCCATTCCTTGCGGAGTTTCTCCTTGAGGCTGCAGTCGGAGATGGCAATCAGCTGCTCCATAAGAGTATGCTCCATGAACGGAGCGCCGGTTTGTAGGAGTTCCGGTGGAAATTGGAGGCAGGATTCATACTGGTCCTGCAGTTGACCGGTGAAGCTGACGTAGCTTTTGCCAGGCATAGGCATCATCTGTCAAAAGGTGTCGATCCGGTTGAGGTGCGGGGTTGGGTGCAAACGTGCCATGGCTACAACCAAAGATTCAAAGTCTGTTGCCCCTTCTCGGTAGAGTTGATTTGCAGAGATCTGGATGAGGGGAAGGGCGTTGTTAAGTAGGCAACAAACCTGGTTCTCCTTGTTGACGTGGTCAATTTTCAAGGCGTTGCGGAGTTGCATGGCAAAGTCCTCAGATTCCGCATTGTCCCTCTGTTTTGGTAGGTTGTATGGTTCCAAGTACCACCGCTTAGCTGCCGGTTGTAGACGTGCTGTGGAAACTGTGGTCTCGTCAAATGCAATCAGGGCATTGTCTGATGGTGGGGGCTGTAATGTTGGTTGGACTGGAAACGCTGCAAGGGCTGAAAGCAGGATGTGGAACCGTTCCAGCTGTGCTGCGTACGCAGTTTTTGAGGGGGTGCTTGGGTGACCGAGACGTTATGTATTGGCCAGGAATTCAAGGGTTGCAAGGGGTAGCAACTCCCAAACACTGATGTTGGAGGTACCTGAGGACGCTGACGCAGGGGTCTCCTGTGGTTGTTGGTCAAGGTGTGCCTCCGGGTTGGTGTCGGGGGTAGCGTTGGGTGCGGCTCTTTACTGTTCCTGGCAATTGGCCATCTCCAAAGCTGCCGCGGCTGTGGCTTTCAAATTTTTGGTTTGACGTTGCATGTTGTCTGGTGCCAAGTCTGCTCGATCACGGAAGTTGGCTCAGCCCCCAATAAGGGTTTTTGCTAGAGACAATGACTTTGACCAGACCTTCAGGCACAAGTATTTAATATCACAACTAACACCAAGTCAAATCACAGTCAGGGATAAAAGTATGGATGATGCTCAGTCAAGAGGTAATAACATAATGATCACTCAAGGTTCATCCTCCAGGCTCGCTCCCACGCCTCTGCTGATCTTCCATTAGATAAGCTTCAGCGCGTGGGCTCTCTGGACATCTGAGTGTAGTTCTGGGAAGTGTCTGCTAGGTGTCGCACTGATCTGTAAGTGGGCTAGCTTACTGAAGGGTGACCGGATGTTACGGTACAGTAAGGGTGCCCCTTCCCATAAGAGGGCAACATCTAGGCATCCATACAGGCGCAGGGGTAAACATCCAAAGTCCCCAACCCAATCCTCAAGCATCATTGCATCATCATCAGAACCACTGGAGGAGAAGCCAACGGCAGGAGCTCCACAATCCCCACTTCAGTCTGAGCCTTTGACCAAGCATCTTCCCCTTCCTGTGGACTTATCCTTGTGTGTTATCCCTTGACTTAAAAGAATATACGTTGTGTTTGTGAATATGTACACACATGTACATCCATGTACACACATGTAAATCCTTGTGCACACATGTACATCAATGTACACACATGTAAATCCTTGTACACACATGTAAAACCTTGTACACCTATGTACATGGATGTACATAGTAAAACCTGTACTTGTAACAGGTTACCTGTACATGTAAAACCTTGTACACCTATGTACATGGATGTACACACATGTACATGTGTGTACATGGATGTACATGTGTGTACATGGATGTACATGTGTGTACATGGATGTACATGTGTGTACATGGATGTACATGTGTGTACATGGATGTACATGTGTGTACATGGATGTACATGTGTGTACATGGATGTACATGTGTGTACATG